AGAGAGAGAGAGAGAGAGAGAGAGAGAGAGAGAGAGAGAGAGAGAGAGAGACAGAGAGAGAGAGAGAGACAGAGAGACACACACACACACACACACACACACAAACATTACACTCTCTAGAACGTCAGTCGAAGTTGCCCCAACCCAGTCGGAGTTGTGCCAAGCCCTGGTCAAAATTACGCCAACCCCCGGTCGAAGTTGGGCACACCAGTGAAAAAAACATTTCAGTCAATAAATAATGTATATAAAAAGCCAAATGGTGTTTAAAAATTTAATGAATAAGTACAATGTATAATCTCTTCAATAGTTCCTGTTTTGATCTTCTTGTGTTGTCAGCAAAGACGAAAACTGAAAGTTTTGATGCAGGCAAAATGTGTCAAACTGTTGTTTCGACCAAGAAATGTTCGCGGTGGGAACCTAGCCGTTTGTCCGTTTGAAGAATCGCGGTTCTTGACAAAAAGAGTCACTTCAGATTTATACGAATGCGGTTAAAAATAGCTTCTGAATGAAATCAACTCGACAAATCATTTCATACTACATGGTGTACGGAGAATGCAGACGAATATTTGGTTAACAAAGAAGGCGAGTAGAGTGATCGGTCGAATTTGGCCCGAGGTCGAAGTTGCCCCAACCCACCCTAGGCCAACACTTAAACTTTAACTGTTCCAGACAAAAGTGGTCAAAAGACACTAAGTTTATAACCAAAAAAAATAACGAGTTCTGTCTGTGACAACGATGTGTGCTAATTTTCAGTCTCACCGTTGACAAATGAAACAAACGTGAGGGCTAGGAGGGCTTGATTCTATAACAGAAATGTTTCGGAAACATGAAGAAGAGTTGTTCAACTGTCGAGCAAGCCTGCTCAATCTCGTGGTGATACAGAAAGTAGCCATTCTCTGCCTGACTTACAACTAACGGGTGAATGTCAAGGCCAGGGCCAGGTCGGGATCTCCGACGTCCTCGTACAAAACCTCAGAGCAAGGGTGAAAAGGGATCTCTGCAAACCAGCTTTGAAGAAAAACTGTTATAATCTACATCTACACCTTACAGAGCAGCTAGATCTAGATCTTAATCGAGAGCAGCCGTTCTAGGACAAAGTTATAAAAAGCAACGTGAAAGAAGTACTTTTGTATACACAACAAACATTGAATAGTTATTATGCGAATAATTTCATGGAACTGAATGGAAAACCAAAAACAACAATTGTTTACGTACTCACCTGGCAAGGTTCTGAAACGAAATGTCCTGATAACATAATTTTAGCCTTTTGCGTACTCATTCTCATTGTGTGTCCGTTCTTCAGTCCTCAGGCACACTCATGGACGTCGTTGTATCTGATCGTTAAGCCTTAGATCATCATTGTGATTTTAGCCCTTAATGTATAAATGACGCCACCGCTACAGTTCACAGTGTCCTGACTGATTACATCTCACGGTATTGCAAAAGTCTCAGAATAGAATCTAGCCTACCAAAAATAGATTCTTACTCTTCTTTAACTTGACTTAGAGGTAACTCAGAAAGAACAGCCCGTGTTTACATGAAGTTAGGGAAATCCCACTCACAGGAAGATGCCCTGAGAAAGCAGATTTGACGACGATCTGTGGGCTGTCGAGGAGAATATAGATATATCTAGATCTAATCTGATTCTTTCATTTCTTTGTTAAATACGTCAAAGACTGCAGTGCATTGGTTGACTTGTTGACTTGGTTGAAAAGGACCTCTAGATCTAGATCTAGATATATAAAGTTTTATTGAACGTTTTAGAAGTTTCTAAGCATTCACTTCACTCACTGCACTGGAAGAAGGTAGGCCTGGATCTAGATCTAGATCTAGATCTAGACTCTATAGATCTAGATCTAGAGATCTGATCTAGATAGAACTAATTTAGATTCTAGATTAGATCTAGATCTAGATCTAGATCTAGATTAGTTGATCTAGAATAGATCTAGATCTAGAGAATCTAGATTCTAGATCTAGATTAGATGATTTTGTTTTCAGATAATTTTTTTGGCTCTCCCTTGGATATGATGGTCCCGACTTTTGTGTAGGCCTACTGGATATCGATACTGATGTATAGTCGGCATCAATGTTTTATGTTTATCAGCAAAGATAGTATAACAAGATGGTCCACTCAGCCAAAAAGTGTCCGCCGGAAGTTCGCTCTTTGCTTCAGATGGTGCTGCAGTCTGTTTTGAAGCTCTCTTTCGTTTCTCCAGAAGAAGAATAGGAATAGCACCTCCTTGCGTGCGCAGATCGACTGCTGTTCATCAGCTGTTCGGGTTCGTTCAGTGCAGAGTTTTAGTTTTTTTTTAATTTTAATGACCTCTCGCCACTCATTCTAAAGTCAAATTAAACGAAGAAAACAGTCGCCCCATCCTCCGGAAGAGGTTTTATGTCAGCGTAACTATTTTTAAAAAGCGTTCTGCCAAAATTTGAATTCTTAATAAAAAATTTATTCAACAAACCTGTTACTTTCACTTTTGAATTTTTTAACACAAGTAGGGTAACCCCTGTTCTCAAAGGGTGCGCATTTGCGGAGAGTGCGCCTCCGAATTTTGAGGACACTTTTTTAATTGGCTCAACCTCTTGGTAGGTAGACTCTTGTTATCAGTGCTGTAGCCTGGATCTAAATCTAGCTTACAAAACGAGCTGTAAAATTATAAACTTGTTTTTAACAAGGCAAGGCAAGGGGGGTTTCTGACCTAAAAAAACCCCAAAAACATGGGGTGTTTCAGGTGGGCATGAATTTGACCACGATTTGATGTTTTGCAATTAAGATTCTAGGTTTGATAGGCTATTTATCCATATCGACCCTCGCATCAAAAAGTAATTGTTTAGAACCAGAAGTAATTGTCGGTTTGGGTCAAAACTAGATTCTAGACTTTCTCCAGGTTATTTCCCTGTCACAAATGTCGGGACCACCATATCCGAAGAGCAATTTTGTAATTATGTTAAATTGAAAGTTTTCTGTAAAATTGTTTCCTGGCCCTATTTAAATTTTGTATTTTTGGAGTCATTTGCTCAAATACATTTGTTGATATTTTTATTTTAAAAAATAGGTCATATTAAAATGCGAAAAGACACTCTATGAAAAAATATGGTACTGGTCCTAATGTGAGGGTGTCCCGCGCGCTCATATATGACCTTGTAATGCAGTTGCGAGCGCTGTAAAACGCTAACAACAAAAAACCCAACAACATTCATATGTGGAGAGAGTTGCATGGCAAAAATCCACAAGATACGTTTAACAACGTAATTTTCCTCTTGTCACAGTGGTACCCAGTGCCATAAATGATAAATTTAAGTAAGGAAAGTCCTATCACAGTAATTACATAATTAATAATGTTTTCTAGATCTAGATGTAATAGTAATTGTTGTAAGGCGACAAAAAAGAAAATGAAACATCGAAAGGACGTCATGCGCCATTCTGGCATAAAGGAAGTCTCGGGTAATCACATAGATGTACACTATAGGCACTAGATACAGTACGCCCCTCTCTCGCCTTGCTGCGCGATGGCCACATTTGACAGCGGCGTCCGCCATGTTTCAGTGGGCGAGTTGTGTGAAGGAATTCAAGCTAAAGCAATGGGCTAGGCATGTTTTCTCTCCCTCATACGCGATAGGCGATCGGCTTGGTCCTTGTGAACTTTTTTTTTTACATGGGCGCCGTGGCGTACTATCTAGGTTACTAAATAGCAATAATACAGCTTTCTTTCTACAACTAGATCTACAAACAAATGTATTATTTAATAGATAGAGATAGAGATATAGGCTTAAAAAAAGAACCCGAAAAACCCCTTTTATTTCTTCATCAGCGCTTTATGTACGAAGTGGTTTATTTCTTATTGACTGAATCAAAGCGTAGATCTATAGGGCCTATCGAACTTATGAAAAGATGTGGTATCATGGGACGAAGTGATTATTGGGACTCGAGTCTAAATATGAAAAAATGTTATTCGGACTCTGATTCTTGTCCAGCATGACATCACTTCCGACTTCCTGTGACTCGTGAAAACGGCTTCCTGTCCTGCCTCACTCGTGACTCGCCTCAGGCTGGGTAGAGACCGGGATCACTTCGGGCAAAAAGGCATTTTGTGCAGGAGCCGAGTTTTAATCTTATGATGAATTTGAGGCCGGCCTGAAAAGTTATAGCGCTTCTAATAAATGTTTATTTATTAAGAGGTCATCAGAAGCAATTAAAGATGGCTCGTTAGCATGTGTCGGGGTCTGATGGGCGGCCTGCACACGTGTGGCTGTGTGCGTGTCGGGGAGGGTGGTGGGGGGGCACTATCGGTCCGAGCTGTGAACGTCGCATAAGCGTCGGTCTTTTTCCCCCCGGCAACTGATTATTATTACAATAATAAGCTAGTCTTGACGTAGATCTACGTAATGAATTGTGCGCTGGTCTATGGAATCAAAAGTTGCCGTATGCTCAGCTCTACACAGCAACACAACTTTTTCTTGGTAAACAATCGATATGACACAGGCTTGTGTATTTGAACGAATTGGTCTTTTTTTTTTTTACACAGCTCATAATATGCCAGGTGGTCTGCTAATCTTCAATTTTACCTTTTTCTACAACAAAGAAAGTGGGAAACGTTGGAGGGGGGGGGGGGGGCGTATCAATGAGGCAGATAAGGTGTAGGGGAAACGAAAAAATGGCGGAAAATTGGAAGCACTGAACGTTAGATCTATAGAACGAAGACACTTCCTTTTTTCCGGACCCGAGTCCGAATAACGACGGCCGGCCATCATGGGAACCTCCCAATCACCCCACCCTTCCTCTCCTCCCGAATCTCAATATCCTCCCCCCCCCCCAAAGCCCAAAGTTTGGCTTTAAATTAAACCAAGATGAGCCATAGAAACAAATTCAAGTTTTTCCTCCATTAGGTGTAGGAAATCACTGAAGCTATTCAACCAAACAAATGATGGATACATGTAGGTCTACTAGTATTTTAAAAATCGAGCAAAACTTTCCGTAATGACATTTGAACAGGAAACTGTATTTTTCATTCTTATGTTCACTTATTTTTATTATTATACCAAACAAGTAGTGTTTCCTTATGTCAGTATTAAACTTTTTTTTCTTAAAGAACTAAAGTAGACCATCTACAGCATTTAAACTTAAGTTCCTTCTATTGCTGTTTTAAGTAAATCTAATTTGGGGCATTAGTAAAAAAGAGAACTTAATGTTGTTTTGTAGCCTGGACAATTGTTTGTCTACACAGTGTAGTGATAACTGATATTATGCTGTGCAAAATATATAGCAAGCTCAGCACCAAACACACTCTGACTATGGCTTCCTTTGTCAACAATAAACTTAGGAAAGATCTACACCTAGCCTTCTCGGACAAGGGCGAAAAATCTCTGAGGGCCCGTGTGCAAGTTGTGGACGTTAAAGATCCCTTGGTGGGCTAAAATCGATAAGAGTAGGCTTCGGTCGCCACTCGGGCAAAATTTAAAATTTCCTACCAACTGAAAATATTAGGTGTTTCCTGCGCGCTCATATGACCTTATGCAGTTGCGAGCGCCGCAAAACACTTTACCAAACAAACAAACAAGGAGATTACCTTTTAAATGTCCTTTTACACTTTTGCTTTTAGTTGTTTGGGAATATATGACTAGATATCTTACATACGCGTTCACTTTCATCGTACAGCACTTAAAACATTGAAAAGGTTTTACCTGGTTTTTATCAACACCACACTAAAATGTATGCCTGTGAGACTCGGTCCAACAAATAGGTGAGTAGCCTACTTTTGGAGACTCACATGGAGATGTCCAGATGGTCTTGGGGGGGAAATTTTCAAGTTAATTACACTGAAATATGAAAGGGCAGGATTGCTGTCTGCTCAAAATGAGCAACAGCAAATGAATGTAAACCACTGATTGCGGGTCCTGTGTATGCATCCAAAGGGCATTTTGGCCAAAGGACAAGCTTTTTGATTTCTCAGTCAAGATTTTTGGAAAAAAGTTTATTGTGTCACGATGTGGTGGAATCAGGCACTCGTCAATTTTCGGGGATATGGGGTTATTGGTATATATCTTAAAGCCTGTTCATTTGCCTTCCAGTTGGTAAAAAAAATATCCATGTTGCATTGAAGTCCAAATATTTGCAATTGAAGGACAGGGTTGCCTGGTTTCAGAAGTAAAATGAATGAGAAAATGGCCGCAAAAATATGGTAACTTCCATAGCTTAAGAGTCCTTGCAAACTGACAATTTACGTTGTTTGTGCCTTTAATCAATGTTTTTCAGGAATATTCCACAGGAAAATGTGTTTTTAAATGGACGTAAAAGGTGTTGAGCCCAAAAAGAAAAATTAGAAAAAAAATAGCCTATCTGTCAAAAAAATTATTTCCTTATTTTGACGAGTGCCGGTCTTAACCGTGATGCCTCACATTTGTTTGGTTGCTGGCCTAAGGATTGCCATACAAAGTGAAAATGGCAACTTAATAAATGAGGTAGAATTTTTTTTAACATGAACATTCGAAAGTGAAACAAGCTATAGAGTTTCCTTTTATGTTGTGATGTAAATTGTTCTATTTTCTACACAAATCAGCTTACAGAAGTAAGAAGAGCTTCAACTTTTGGATTCTGTCGAATAAAAATTAGTATAAAGTCATGGTTTACTTTGGGAGTTTTTAATGAGCTAGGAATTGGGATAAGCATAAGAATGAAGGAAATGCATCCTTTCTATTGCTTATAAATGATTTCTTCATTTCAATGTAAACAGCTATATTTTGTGTGGCTACTGGAATTATATCATGTGAAAATCAAACACCTAATACAATATGATATATATTCTCCTTGCCCATCTTAGGGATCATGGACTCGCCGGGTCGAGATCTTCTGTTCACCAAACTGCGTGAACGTCTCAATGCAGACAAGATTAAACTTTGGCTTCCACCTTACACACAAGATGGGAGCTCGGAGAAAGGAGAAGTACCAGAGGTCTGTTCATTTTGCCAAACAATTGTAATTTAACCTCTTATATTCTGCACATGGGAAATCAATGACCTTTCGCTATGTACGAATTTAGCTTATGTGTGTGAATTTTAGATGACATCAATGTTGGACAATTGGGCCTATATTTTACAAGAATTATGTCCCCTATAGAGAGAGCTAACATACTTCTTTAGCACCTGTCTGGTGTAAACCAATAATGCTTGGGCCCTCTTTTGGTGCAAAATTTAAAAGTGACATATATACATCACTAAATTGATCATTAAGTCAAAACAAGAGAACCTATTTTAATAGATCTAATGAAAATACTCCCGGTAAAAGAGACCCATTTTCAGCAATTGCAAAAATCTAATTTGACGTAGAAGTCATTGTAAAGCAATGTGCCTGAGCTGCTACCAGTGGGTCACTGGCACAGCAGTGCTCATAACAAACCTCTGAGAGCGGCTTGCCGGAGATGAAGAGTTAAAAAAACAAAAACCCAATAGCTAACACAATGACACCTTTCGTGCATACCGTCCCATTCAACATACAACAATCCTTTCAAAACCATGTCTCTATGTCATTGTGTCCTCTTACTGAAGCTAAGAATCATTCTTCAAATATTAGTATCCATTTTCAATACGGACATTAGTGATGATAATCCTTGTGCCAAAACAGGAACAGCCTAGATGAGCTGTAAGGCTGTTGACTTGCAAAAAAAAATATATGACCGAGACTTCCGGCTCCACAGGAAAGGACCGATAGGTACCTGTCTTTAACGCTAAATGTCTACATGATATTTTGTGTATTCTCTTCAGATGCTAATCAGTCAGTACAGTGAGGAGTTCAAGTTTCCGCAGTTGGAAGTTGCACAAGCGCTGGAAGAGTTGCGGGTCCGTGCCCTGACCCGCCTGGAGGAACGGGCCAAGTTTCAGGCAGAGGGGCTGGCTACTCTCAGAGTGAAGCTCACCTGTCAGCTCCCCACAGAGGTCAGTGTTGCACCTTGACTCTTTGGCTGAGTATGTTGGGCAGAGAGCTATGAGGGGACTTTTTGGGTTCTCTTTTGTTTTATCTTTGTCTTGACCTACTCAGGACATCTTCATTTTTGAACAACAATCTAATGTGTTTTTTATAATAGTTGTTGTCAAGCACGGAGGAGAAAACTGAAACATGTCGAGGATTGAGAAATGTGTTCAACACAACTATAATATTTTAGGAAAAGTGATAAAACAAAAATTTTAAGAGATTTGAAGAAAATCAAAGGAAGTAACTATGACAGTACAATGGTTGGAAAATAAATCACTGATAAGGATTTTCTTTTGTGGATTCGCTTCACACAGCTGTTTGAGTAATGCTGTGTTTCTTGTGTTGCATGTGAAGTTCCTTTGCAATTTCATCTGCTTTTGTATCAGGATAGGACCAGAGATAGGAAGAGACATGGCACATGCTTGCTGGTAATATGTTACAATACCAGCTTTATATCCTTAATTTTGGCAAAGCACACTTAGTTCGCATCCAATGTTGTTGCTTTCTATTTTATATAGATTTTTAAGAAACATGGAAAGCAATGATTTGGAGATCTCTGACAAATGCCCGTCTTAGTGCAGGACTTCTTGTCAATCTCTGCAAAAATTTGTCACTGAGTTTCTGTTGTCTGACAATTAAGTTTTCTCTTCTCAGCCATCATGAAAAGTACCCGGCTTTGATAAGAGGCTAAAGGATGGATAATGCATGCATCTCGTATGGTGTCAAATTATGTGAAAGGAAGAGAGTGCTGCTGATGGACCTTATGACTAAAATTAGATTGTTCTTACATCAAATCACAATCTTGACGATGTAACCAGCACTGTACACAGAAGGCCACCCACCCCTCTTGTATAATATGTGTAACAACGCCCCTGACCATACCTTCATGTTTAACAAACAACCACACACACATACTCATGTACACAACTGTGATTCACACACCATACAGACCAATGCAGCTCACACTGTACTCTCTCTATCTTTGAACTTTGATCATATCATACACCACAACATAGCACCCTCTCTCACATGACAATGCAGCTCAACTACAAATGATGTATGATGATGCATCTCGAAATCAGCAGTGAGTGTATCACACTTTGTGGAGGATGACCCTGGTAATCTCATGTAACCTGGTACTCTCTTAGATGATGGGCGTGTTGTTTCCCATCGTGTGATCAGGGCAGTTTGAATTCAGGACTATGATGAGAGAAAATTTGACAGTGTTTTTCAAGATGAGCTGTTTGACAAATCTGAATGGGTGTTTTAGAAAACAGTGTTGCCAATACAAAGGAAATATATTGGTTCTGTCGAGGTATGGCATATTGTACAAGCTATCTGTGATTTCTAGTTTTGATTGTAGGTGTTACATTTCAGATGGTAGCTGATTTCAGAACTGTTATTTACCTTTCTTATACTTACAATTTCATCAACAGCGTTCACCGCGCAAGTTGGTGCCTGTAGAATGTAGTCTGGACATCCGAGGTTCAGATCTGAAGGAGTTGATTGCTGCCAAGTTTGATGTTCCTCAGTCCCTGCTCAAGCTGATTTGTCGTGGTCGAGTGATTGCAGATGAGAAAACGCTCAGCAATCAGGGGGTCAAAGTGAGGAGACGTTTCTTATGTCCCATTGTTGGCTATTCATGCAGTGTTATGCATGTGTGATTGTTTGTGTGTGTGTGTGTGTGTGTATGTGTGTGTGTACTGTGTCTGTGTGTGTGTGTGTGTGTGTGTGTGTGTGTGTGTGTGTGTGTGTGTGTGTGTGTGTGTGTGTGTGTGTGGTTATCTTGTTGATATGAACCATTGTGACAAAAGAAAATTTTGTTGGAATTGTTCTTGCAGATGTTTTACACCCAACAACAATTTAACTAGCCGCGATCTGTGGTGAAGCAGTTTGGCTCTTCATCATGGCATGCAGAAGACATGATGAGTGATTCCATAGCTTGGAATTTTTTTAATGGAGTATTTCGGCTGTCTGCCTAAATGTTGCATCACTCAGCCAGTGTTGGCCCTGACTGGCAGGGTCGAAATAATCCATCTCTTAAATGATCTACATTATGTCAATCAACCCTTTAAAATACTTAAAACCACAATCACAGTTAAACTCTTGTAGCCCCCTCCCCCTCCCAAGGGCAGTGCTACTGCTTAAGTGTCTTTACGCCATTCCCAAAGGGGGGATATTGACATGTTCCTATGCACAGTTGTATTGTAAATGGGCTGATTTATCACTGTCATGCTCATACTGTGCCGTAACAACATAGCGGGAACTGCTGCTTTTTCTTTCCTCATCCTTACTATCATCATTTTCCTCTACTTCTTTTGTATGTTTGTCACTCTCTTGTGAACTGCTAATTCCGGGATGTCTTGATAGTTGAAGCAGATTTTGTGCTGTTGAGGCTAGAGAGGTGAGCAGAGTAATCCTGATTCCCCGTTTAGACTTCTCTGTTGACATCCACCTCATGGTGCTCATATGACTTTATGCAGTTGCGAGCGCCATAAAACCTTACTAAAACCAACAAAATTAACCGTTGTAAGAAACAAGTTGTTTCAATAATTTTGCCTGTTAGAGCCAATTTGAGTTGTGTGCAGTATATTCCAGAAGCAAAGAAAACAGGGCCTGACGATTAAAACAAAGTGGTAGTGTGATTTGTATGGATGTATGTTTACATTTTGTGTGTTTTTATGTTTGGAAAAGAAAGAAGAAGAGAACTGTGTCTTCTTCTTCTTCTTATGTAGGTGGCTTACGGGTACTCTGGTGTGGTTTGCGCTTTCTTTCCTATCAAACTTCTATTGTCATAATCTCTTCTTCATTTTTTGTGTTTGGTACTCTCTTGTAACGCTTCTAATTCTGGGGCACTTATATGACTTTACTGTATTGTAAGTGCAATAAAACCCCTTATTAAAACAAAAATCTCCTCTCCTTTTCTTTGTATGTCACTCTCTATAAGACCTCTAATCTTTGGTACTTAAGGACTTATTTATTTTGCTGCAAGTGGAGTAAGACTCTTCTAAAACTAAACTTCTTTTAATGTTTCGACTCTTCCTGCATCACTTTCTTCATTCCGTCCTTGTTCCCTCCCCATCTTGCTGCCAGGACCCCTCATCACTTGTTGACTCATCTGTCTGTCTGTGAGTGTACTCCTCTCTTCCTGCTTCTGTCTAACTGGTGTCTTTTCCTTTGTTTGTCTCCTCTCCCTTTGCCTGTTTGTCTTACTCCATGTCCTCTACCTTGTATCATTTCTCATTTCACCATCTGTATCACCTCATTTCACCATTCACCTCACCGGTTGTATCACCTTTTGTTTTACTACTCTTTTCTTCTATATCTTATAACCATGTCTCTCACCACGTGTGTCCAAACTTCCCACCGCCAAATGTAGGTCTAGGTCTCATCTCAAGGTCGTTGTCTCACCCTTGTCTTTCTGTTTTTTTTGGGTTTTTTTCAGAACGGCAGTGACCTCATGGCCATGTGTATGACAGTCTCGGAGGCCAACGTGATCCAGAAGGACTCAGAGTTTGCTCAAGTGAAACGTACACGTCGAGCTGCTGAGCTGTTATCTAATAGGGGAGATGGTGAGGGGCATGTGTGTGTATCTATGTCATTGTGTTTCAGTGTCATCTACAGTGTTAAGAGGAACTAGACAGAGCCCAGTCAGAGATGAAGAGGGAAGAAAGCGGTGGCTATGGATTGGACAAACTCTCAGGAAGCCAGGCAGCTGCATAACAAAGAAAATGTTGTATTGGAATCCAAAGGGTAGGGGATCGAGGGGAAGGGCACCTGGAACCTGGTGAAGAGTTGCGAGAGTCTAGCCCAGCATATGGAAAGGTGGAAAGTGTTTGTTCATGGCCTATTGATGCAGAGTGAGAAAGGCAGGGATAATAATGATGTTATTTGTGTTTCTGTGTATATATGTACTCAGATGTGCAAGTAATCGAAGGATGGCATTAGCAGATTTTGTTTAGCTCTTAATATTTCTGTTTTCTGTTTGTTTTTGGTAGCTGAAAATGATTGTTATTGTATCAATGTGCTTCTTTTTTTCCCTTACTTTACTCAAACTGTGTGGCTGTGAGTGTATACATTTATGATTTTGTGTGTGTGCATGTGTTTGCACATGTTTATATACTGCATTTAAAGAATGGATGGGGTGTCAGCAAAAAACTTCTCAATGGGATGCCAGACTTAGGGACGGAAAGGAAATTCTCAGTATCTTCAGGGTTCAGTTCCCCTTGATGATGCAAATCAAGGGACGAGTGAGTGAGGGAGGAATAGATAGATGTGTTGTGTGTATGTATGAATTGTATATGTTAATTATAGCACAGGTTGTTACCCTTACAAGGGAGGTTTCAGACCCAGTGTAAAATGCTATGACTATTGTGTCTAGAGCTAGTGGGCCTAGCACTCAACAATATCAGAAATGAGTTGTGTATCTGGAATGTGTATATTTCCCAATGAAGGATCACTCAATGCTGTATGTTTTTCCCCAGATGATGAGCATTTTGATGTTCAGATTGCAGACCAAAAGGGACAGCCGATAAATCTGCCCAAAGATGAAAAGAAAGTGAGTGGATGGGGATACTAACTCTGTTTTATGACAATGATTTGATAGCACTGACTTGATGTGATGACTCCTAGGTGACGTCACAACTCAGATTTATTTGATATCCATAAGAAATGTCGAGAGTACTTTCAATTTCATTTGTGTCACGAAATGGTGGAAGCAGGTACTCATCAATTTTTTGGGGACATGGAGTTATTAGTATAATCTGCTAATCTAAAAGCTTTTTCATTTGTCTTGCTTTTGATGAAAGAAGACTCTTCTATTTTAAATAGAAGTTGAGATAATTGGGATTAAAGGAGGAGGATGGTGTGGGTCACCTTGTGCCAGAGGTGAAATCAGCAAGAAAATGACCACCAATGTTTGGTGACTCCTAAAGCTTGAGTATCCTTAGAAATTGCAAATTTACTTTTTTTTTGTGCCTTTGATCAACGTTTTTTGGTAATTTCCATACTCAAATGTGTTTTTAAGTGGGTTGAAAGGTGCTGAGCCCTGCCACTGCGAAAAGAGAAAAAAATTTATATAATTTACCCAACAAGCGAAAAAATGTCCGTTTCTTTGGTATCATTATTTTAACAAGCACCTGATTTCACCACAATGCCTTGCAATTGAAATGTAAGGAGAGCAGTCATTCCCGACTGAGCAAAAATTTGAAGGAGTGAAATTTTCAGAAGACTGTTAAGAATGTGACAGAAGAAGAAAAGAGGAGAGGAAGAGAGAGGGAAGTAAGACGGATGTAGCTGTAGTTTTTGTGTTTCCATAACAGGCCCTAACTGTGGCCATGACACTGCACGAGAAGGGTCGCTCGGCGCTGAAGGAGAAGAAAGTCACGCTGGCTCTACCCCTGCTGCTGGAGGCTGATGAAGAGTTCAGGTGGGTAGTGTTGGAAAAGTGGGGAGATGGTTGGGGGAGGGGGGGGAGAAAAGAAGAATAAAACAAAGGTCTCTCTCTCTCTCTCTCTCTCTCTCTCT